AAAGAAAATGTTTAGAAAACCGTAAGAAAAGAACATACATTTACTATGTATTAAATGCAAGTGAGTCATCATAAAGGATTTCATCGTCACCTTCTTCACACTGAGTAGGCTGAGGAGAAGTAGGAAGAGGAGAGATTGGACTTGCTGTCTCAGGGGAGGCAGGAGAGACAGGTACATCTTAATTTCTGCCTTTTTCATTTTTCTAAAAATGTCTCTATATAGTACCAATCCTTCCAGTGTTTGCTTTAGTTTCAGTGCCTATATCATATTAATAAAAAGGTTCATGTCCTAAAAGAAGTCAAAAGCAGTCCTGAATAATTAAAACCCTTCTGCCAGATTGTCTAATGTCAGTTTGTCTTCTGGCACTGCTCTTTCTACATCTTCTTCTTCATCATCTGGCACTGGTTTGGAAGCACTCATCTTTACCAAGTCATCTTCTGTTAATTCCTCTGGTGTTTGTCTATTAGCTCTTGAATTTTTCCAACATCCACATCTTGAAACTCTTCTCCTCCACCTTTTTTTTTTTTTGCCATATCCACAATCTCTTTCATAACTTCCTTGATTGGTTCTGTCATAAATCCTGTGAAGATGCACAACATCTGGACAGTTTTCTCCAGCAGGAATTTATTGTTTCAGGCTTCATGGCCTTCACAGTTTTTTCTGTTACAGTAATGGCATCTTCAATCTTGTAATCCTTCCAGACTTTGCTGATGTCCTCTCTCTTGGGGTTCTCTTCCATAGCGTTGATAATCCTTTCCATAGAGTACCATGTGGAATGAGTCTTAGAGGTTCTTATGCCCCCCCTGATCTAGAGGCTGAATTAGAGACATTATATTTGGGAGCAAGTAGACTACTTCAATGCCTTCAGTGTTAAATTCATGGGATTCTGGATGTTCAGGGGCATTGTCCAGTATCAGAAGAACTTTAAAAGGCAGATCCTTACTGGCAAGGGACTTCCTGACTTCAGGTACAGAACATCAATGGAACCAATCCAGAAAAAGAGTTCTCGTTTTCTAGGCCTTCTTGTACAACCAGAAGACTGGCAACTGGTGTTTATCTTTTCCCATCAAGGCTCAGGAGTTAGCAGCTTTATAGATAAGGGCAGT